CCCAATATATTCTATAACACGAACCTCCTCCCCCCAATATTCTATATACCGAACCTCCCTCCCCCCAATATTCTATATCCCGAACCTCCGCCCCCCAATTATTCTATATATCGAACCTCCTGCCCCCCAATATTCTATATACCGAACCTCCTCCCCCCAATATTCTATATCCCGAACCTCCCCCCCCAATATTCTATATATCGAACCTCCTCCCCCCAATATTCTATATATCGAACCTCCTCCCCCCCAATATTCTATATCCCGAACCTCCGCCCCCCAATATTCTATATCCCGAACCTCCTCCCCCAATATTCTATATCCCGAACCTCCGCCCCCAAATATTCCCGATATCCCGAACCTCCGCCCCAAATATTCTATATCCCGAACCTCCCGCCCCCCAATATTCTATATATCGAACCTCCTCCCCCCAATATTCTATATATCGAACCTCCTCCCCCCAATATTCTATATCCCGAACCTCCGCCCCCAATATTCTATATCCCGAACCTCCGCCCCCAATATTCTATATATTGAACCTCCTCCCCCCAATATTCTATAAATTGAACCTCCTCCCCCCAATATTCTATAAATTGAACCTCCGCCCCCAAATATTCTATATATCGAACCTCCTCCCCCCAATATTCTATATATCGAACCTCCCCCCCCCAATATTCTATATCCCGAACCTCCGCCCCCCAATATTCTATATCCCGAACCTCCGCCCCCCAATATTCTATATACCAAACCTCCTCCCCCCAATATTCTATATCCCGAACCTCCGCCCCCAATATTCTATAACACGAACCTCCGCCCCGAATATTCTATATATCGAACCTCCTGCTCCCAATATTCTATATACCGAACCTCCTCCCCCCAATATTCTATATCCCGAACCTCCGCCCCCAATATTCTATATCCCGAACCTCCGCCCCCAAATATTCTATATCCCGAACCTCCTCCCCCCAATATTCTATATATCGAACCTCCTCCCCCCAATATTCTATATCCCGAACCTCCGCCCCCAAATATTCTATATCCCGAACCTCCGCCCCCAAATATTCTATATCCCGAACCTCCGCCCCCAAATATTCTATATACCGAACCTCCGCCCCCCAATATTCTATATCCCGAACCTCCCCCCCAATATTCTATATCCCGAACCTCCTCCCCCCAATATTCTATATCCCGAACCTCCGCCCCCAATATATTCTATATCCCGAACCTCCGCCCCCCAATATTCTATAACCCGAACCTCCGCCCCCCAATATTCTATATCCCGAACCTCCGCCCCCGATATTCTATATATCCCGAACCTCCGCCCCCAAATATTCTATATCCCGAACCTCCGCCCCCGAATATTCTATATCCCGAACCTCCTCCCCCCAATATTCTATATCCCGAACCTCCTCCCCCCAATATTCTATATCCCGAACCTCCGCCCCCCAATATTCTATATACCGAACCTCCGCCCCCCAATATTCTATATCCCGAACCTCCGCCCCCAATATTCTATATCCCGAACCTCCGCCCCCGAATATTCTATATCCCGAACCTCCGCCCCCCAATATTCTATATACCGAACCTCCGCCCCCCAATATTCTATATCCCGAACCTCCGCCCCCAAATATTCTATATCCCGAACCTCCGCCCCCGAATATTCTATATCCCGAACCTCCGCCCCCCAATATTCTATATCCCGAACCTCCTCCCCCCAATATTCTAATCGGGGGTCTGCATGTGTCCGGTGTCGTTCCTGACACATTCCTGACACCTGAGGGAACATGGACTTTGGGAGTTCCTGTAAGACGTCGATAGGCAACTGAAATATCAGCTTTGTGTGAGTGGCCCTTTAAGGACATAATTTCGGGGCTGGGCCCCTGCAATCCCTGAACATCTCCACAGCTCTAGTGGGCGATATTATCATCTTTGTGTCCTTTCATCTGCAGAAAGTGGGGATTTGTAGATAATTGTGTGTCCGGGGACTCTCATTATCCGGGATTAGGCAGTCCTTCTGGTCACATTGCACAACCCGGCACACCGTTATGTCCCTGGCAAGACTGCGGCTTCACCCGCGAGCCGACACCTGGCTGACCCGATTCATCAGATCACAGAAATATCTCCCTAATTATACATTCCCAGCCTGAGGAACGTTAATTATCGTTGGATCACCCGGTCCCCATGGGAAGGACGTGATGACGAGGATATAGATTGAGGTGCGTGCAGTCACCGGCCAGGTCAGCTGGGAGAGAGAAGATGAGCAGATCCCAGGAGGACAGATCCCCCGGAACAGATCCCAGGGATTGTTCCACATGGACATTTTCAGGGAGAATGCATCACCCACAAGTAGATCCCATGGAATATTTCACAGAGAGAACACATACCATGTCAGCAGATCCCCAGGGAATGGATCCAGTCTGAGCAGATCCCTGGAGAAAGGAGGCAAAGTGAATGGACCCAGTGAGAGCGGATCCCAGGAGACTCGATTACAGGGGTCCCAAACCCATGAGAGCAGATCCCAGGGAATATTTCACATGGACCTATTCAGGCAGAACACGTACCATATAAGCAGATCCCCGGGGAATGGATCCAGTCTCTGCAGATCCCTGGAGAAAGGGGGCAAACTGAATGGACTCCATAAGAGCGGATCCCAGGGGTCTTTATCCCATGAAAAGAGATCCCAGTGGTTTCCATCCCAGGAGAACAGATCCAAGCCATCTTCATCCCAGGAGAACAGATTCCTGGTGTCTACATTCCCAGGGGTCTCCATCCCAGGAGAACAGATCCCAGGGGTCTCCATCCCAGGAAGAACAGATTCCAGGTGTCTACATTCCAGGGGTTCTCCATCCCAGGAGAACAGATCCCAGGGCTCTCCATCCCAGGAGAACAGATCCCAGGTGTCTACATTCCAGGGGTCTCCATCCCAGGAGAACAGATCCCAGGGGTCTCCATCCCAGGAGAACAGATTCCAGGTGTCTACATTCCAGGGGTCTCCATCCCAGGAGAACAGATCCCAGGGCTCTCCATCCCAGGAGAACAGATCCCAGGGCTCTCCATCCCAGGAGAACAGATCCCAGGGCTCTCCATCCCAGGAGAACAGATCCCAGGGGTCTCCATCCCCAGAACAGATTCCGATCCCCGGTGAGTAGGACCCCCTTATTCAGGGGAGCCGTCTGTTTTATATTTGTTTTTTGGCTTCAAATGTTCTATCGAAATTTGAACAAAACCGAATGAGAAAACATTCTAAACAAAGGGCCACATTACTGGTCACAGACTTCAGGGGGGCCACATTGTCAGTGGAATAAACAATGTCTCTGAGTTGGTGGTCAGAGGGAGTAAAAATTTATATAGTGCCTGTGGTCAGTAGGAGGAGAAATAGTGCCCCATCATTGGTGTCAGTGGGAGGAATACTGCCCCATCATTGGTGTCAGTGGGAGGAATAGTGTCCCATCATTGGTGTCAGTGGAGGAATAGTGCCCATCATTGGTGTCAGTGGGGGGAATAGTGCCCCATCATTGGTGTCAGTGGGGAGGAATAGTGCCCCATCATTGGTGTCAGTGGGAGGAATAGTGTCCCATCATTGGTGTCAGTGGGAGAAATAGTGCCCCATCATTGGTGTCAGTGGGAGGAATAGTGCCCCATCATTGGATATCAGTGGGAGGAATAGTGCCCCATCATTGGTGTCAGTGGGAGGAATAGTGCCCCATCATTGGTGTCAGTGGGAGGAATAGTGTCCCATCATTGGTGTCAGTGGAGAAATAGTGCCCCATTATTGGTGTCAGTGGGAGGAATAGTGCCCCATCATTGGTGTCAGTGGGAGGAATAGTGCCCCATCATTGGTGTCAGTGGGAGGAATAGTGCCCCGTCATTGGTGTCAGTGGGAGGAATAGTGTCCCATCATTGGTGTCAGTGGGAGGAATAGTGCCCCATTATTGGTGTCAGTGGGAGGAATAGTGCCCCATCATTGGTGTCAGTGGGAGGAATAGTGCCCCATCATTGGTGTCAGTGGGAGGAATAGTGTCCCATCATTGGTGTCAGTGAGAGGAATAGTGGCCCATCATTGGTGTCAGTGGGAGGAATAGTGCCCCATCGTTGGTGTCAGTGGGAGGAATAGTGCCCCATCATTGGTGTCAGTGGGAGGAATAGTGCCCCATCATTGGTGTCAGTGGGAGGAATAGTGCCCCATCATTGGTGTCAGTGGGAGGAATAGTGCCCCATCATTGGTGTCAGTGGGGGGAATAGTGCCCCATCATTGGTGTCAGTGGGAGGAATAGTGTCCCATCATTGGTGTCAGTGGGAGGAATAGTGCCCCATCATTGGTGTCAGTGGAAGGAATAGTGCCCCATTGTTGGTGTCAGTGGGAGGAATAGTGCCCCATCATTGGTGTCAGTGGGAGGAATAGTGCCCCATCATTGGTGTCAGTGGGAGGAATAGTGCCCCATCATTGGTGTCAGTGGGGGGAATAGCGCCCCATCATTGGTGTCAGTGAGGGGAATAACGCCCTATCATTGGTGTCAGTGGGGGGAATAGTGCCCCATCATTGGTGTCAGTGGGGGGAATAGCGCCCCATCATTGGTGTCAGTGAGGGGAATAACGCCCCATCATTGTGTCAGTGGGGGGAATAGTGCCCCCATCATTGGTGTCAGTGGGAGGAATAGTGCCCCCATCATTGGTGTCAGTGGGGGGAATAACGCCCCATCATTGGTGTCAGTGAGGGGGAATAAACGCCCCATCATTGGTGTCAGTGGGGGGAATAGTGCCCCCATCATTGGTGTCAGTGGGGGGAATACGCCCCCATCATTGGTGTCAGTGGGAGGAATAGTGCCCCCATCATTGGTGTCAGTGGGGGGAATAACGCCCCATCATTGGTGTCAGTGAGGGGAATAAACGCCCCATCATTGGTGTCAGTGGGGGGAATAGTGCCCCCATCATTGGTGTCAGTGGGGGGAATAACGCCCCATCATTGGTGTCAGTGGGGGAATAGTGCCCCCATCATTGGTGTCAGTGGGGGGAATAACGCCCCATCATCATTGGTGTCAGTGGGGGGAATAGTGCCCCATCATTGGTGTCAGTGGGGGAATAGTGCCCCCATCATTGGTGTCAGTGGGGGAATAACGCCCCATCATTGGTGTCAGTGGGGGGAATAGCGCCCCATCATTGGGCGTTGTGCAGTGGGTGACCTTGGCTGGTCTGTAGACATTGGGGTCCCATAGACGATGAATCCACGCACACGTAACGGTGTGAATACACGCATGGCGTGGTGTGTTGAGGTTGGACGGGTGTTTTTGTTCCACAGACACATGTTGAGGCCCCATAGATAAGTCAGAACAGAGCAGGGTGTGAATGGGCCCCCAATGTTGGTTGTGGCCCTGGAATGGACACATGGGACTCGCCCGCCGCCATGCTGGAGGAGAGGAATCGTAGAATCTGATTATTATGGAGGTTTACCGCTGAACACGCCCCTCGATGCTGATTGGTGGGGTTCTCATCCTCCGGATTTCTCCAGCCGGACACTTCCATTGGATTTCTGCACCGGGTGTCTCAGCCAATGGAAGGAGGCTCCTGACTTCAGAAAGTGTGCCGCGACGTAGTGAGGAAGGCCGCGCCGCTCTCTGATTGGTGGCCACGTGGGCTTCATTGAGTATGAAGCCGAAGGTGACAGATCCCAGACGTCCTGCACAACGCCGCTCTCTGATTGGTGGCCACGTGGGCTCCATTGAGTATGAAGGCGAAGATGACAGATCCCAGACGTCCTGCACAACGCCGCTCTCTGATTGGTGGCCACGTGGGCTCCATTGAGTATGAAGGCGAAGATGACAGATCCCAGACATCCTGCACAACGCCGCTCTCTGATTGGTGGCCACGTGGGCTCCATTGAGTATGAAGATGACAGATCCCAGACATCCTGCACAACGCCGCTCTCTGATTGGTGGCCACGTGGGCTCCATTGAGTATGAAGGCGACAGATTCCAGACGTCCTGCACAACGCCGCTCTCTGATTGGTGGCCACGTGGGCTCCATTGAGTATGAAGGCGAAGATGACAGATCCCAGACGTCCTGCACAACGCCGCTCTCTGATTGGTGGCCACGTGGGCTCCATTGAGTATGAAGGCGAAGATGACAGATCCCAGACGTCCTGCACAACGCCGCTCTCTGATTGGTGGCCACGTGGGCTCCATTGAGTATGAAGGCAAAGATGACAGATCCCAGACGTCCTGCACAACGCCGCTCTCTGATTGGTGGCCACGTGGGCTCCATTGAGTATGAAGGCGAAGATGACAGATCCCAGACATCCTGCACAACGCCGCTCTCTGATTGGTGGCCACGTGGGCTTCATTGAGTATGAAGGCGAAGATGACAGATCCCAGACGTCCTGCACAACGCCGCTCTCTGATTGGTGGCCACGTGGGCTTCATTGAGTATGAAGGCGAAGATGACAGATCCCAGACGTCCTGCACAACGCCGCTCTCTGATTGGTGGCCACGTGGGCTCCATTGAGTATGAAGATGACAGATCCCAGACATCCTGCACAACGCCGCTCTCTGATTGGTGGCCACGTGGGCTCCATTGAGTATGAAGGTGACAGATCCCAGACGTCCTGCACAACGCCGCTCTCTGATTGGTGGCCACGTGGGCTCCATTGAGTATGAAGGCAAAGATGACAGATCCCAGACGTCCTGCACAACGTCGCTCTCTGATTGGTGGCCACGTGGGCTTCATTGAGTATGAAGGCGAAGATGACAGATCCCAGACGTCCTGCACAACGCCGCCGCTCTCTGATTGGTGGCCACGTGGGCTTCATTGAGTATGAAGGCGAAGATGACAGATCCCAGACGTCCTGCACAACGCCGCTCTCTGATTGGTGGCCACGTGGGCTCCATTGAGTATGAAGATGACAGATCCCAGACATCCTGCACAACGCCGCTCTCTGATTGGTGGCCACGTGGGCTCCATTGAGTATGAAGGCAAAGATGACAGATCCCAGACGTCCTGCACAATGCCGATCCGCCCACACAGGATGAGATTGATCTGGAAGTCGGGAGATCGTTGGATTGGATATAATTCGATGAATAACGCCGCCGTCTAGACCGCCAGAGACGCTACTTCTGGTTCCACACTTCAGCGCGGAGATCCGCAGAGCCCTGGCAGAGAGAAGCCGAGCCGCCGCCAGTCTCTGCGCTCAGAATCCGCCATCCAGAGGGAGGTGTCACCCCCCGGGCCCCCGACTCGCAGGCAGTGATGGGCGATATCCGTGCGCTGCATAATCTGACACATTCGTCCTGACACAGCCGGGACGCTCTCCGGAGTCACCGCGTCACCCGGGGCGTCTGTCACATCCGAGCCGCATCATGGATTCCTCCACTTCCATCTGTGTGTTGTGATCACAGCGCCGGGATTGTGGTGCCAAGACCTCTCCGCCGACACACACCGTCCAATGTCAGCCAATCGAGTCTCCAGGAAGAAACCCGACACGTCACCATGTACAGGAGCATTGGTCAGGAAAGCTCCACCACCTGTCGTAAATGTCGTCAGTGACTCTGCCTAGGCTGACATGTCATCAGTCTGCTGCAAGCAGCAGGAAGCATTTCCTCAGTCTCCTCCCCCAGGGATCAGACCGTACATTGTGCGGCAGGGGCTGATCTGTGTCAGACATTTGTGAACACGGTCAGGAACTGCACAGGCACCAGGATATACATGATTGTGTCATCTCTGAGCCGGCTTCTCAGTCTAGGAAGTAGAGGGTGACCCCGGATGATGCCAGAACAAAGATGGTGCCGTCCTCCTGGAGAGGAGATCAGATGAAGGCATTGTCGGGAGTCCTGTGATCCTGTGTGGTGGTGTGGGTGGGGGTGGGGATGCGGTTGTGGACGGTGTGGGTGGGTGGTGTGTGGTGGGGAGATGCGGTGTGGCCGGGTGGTGTGGTGGGAGATGCGGTGTGGGTGGGTGGGTGTGGGGGGGGAGGGGGTGTGGCCGGGTGGGTGTGGTGTGGTGGGGGGGTGCGGTGTGGACGGGGGGTGGTGGGGGGGAGGATGATATGCAGGTGGTGGAGTACCTGTGTGTATGGACTGAATGATTCCGCTCTATTAACCCCCCCATTGTGAGAAACAGAGCATTGTGGGAGAATATGAGGAAGACTCCGATCAGGAGAAGTTCTACTTAAGGGATACACATACTATTGGACCGCCGCCCTTCCCACACACATGACCTTTAATGGCCCCCCAGTCTTAGTCCGTTTCAATATTGAGTTGGCCCCGCCCTTCCCACACACATGACCTTTAATGGCCCCCCAGTCTTAGTCCGTAGGGTTCAATATTGAGTTGGCCCCGCCCTTTCCACACACATGACCTTTCATGGCCCCCCAGTCTTAGTCCGTAGGGTTCAATATTGAGTTGGCCCCGCCCTTTCCACACACATGACCTTTCATGGCCCCCCAGTCTTAGTCCGTAGGGTTCAATATTGAGTTGGCCCCGCCCTTTGCAGCTATAACAGCTTCAACTCTTCTGGGAAGGCCGTCCACAAGGTTTAGGAGGGTGTCTATGGGAAGGTTGGACCATTCTTCCAGAAGCACATTTGTCAGGTCAGGCACTGATGTCGGGGGGGGGGCACTGATGTCGGGGGAGGAGGCTGGCTCGCAGTCTCCGCCCTAATTCATCCCAAAGGTGTTCTATGGGGTTGAGGTCAGGACTCTGTGCAGGACAGTCAAGTTCCTCCACCCCAAACTGGCTCCTCCATGTCTTTATGGACCTTGCTTTGTGCACTGGGGGGCAGTCATGATGGAACAGGTAGGGGCCATCCCCAAACTCCTCCCACAAAGTTGGGAGCAGGAAATTGTCCAAAATGTCACCTTAAGAGTTCCCTTCACTGGAACTAGGGGGCCAACCCCAACCCCTGAGGAACACCCCCACCCCATAATCCCCCTCCACCAAACTTTACACTTGGCACAATGCAGTCAGGCAAGTACCGTTCTCCTGGCCACCACCAAACCCAGACATGTCCATCAGATGGCCAGACAGAGAAATGTGATTGGTCCCTCCAGAGAACACGTCTCCCCTGCTCTAGAGTCCAGTGGCGGCGTGCTTTACACCATGGCATCCGACGCTTTGCATTGCACTTGGTGATGGAAGGCTTGGATGCAGCTGCTCTGCCATGGAAACCCATTCCATGAAGCTCTCTACGCACTGTTGTTGGGCTCATCTGAAGGCCACACCAAGTTTGGAGGTCTTTAGCTATTGACTCTGCAGACAGTTGCGCACTGTGCGCTTCAGCATGCGCTGACCCCGCCCTGTCATGTGACGTGGCCTACCACTTGGTGGCTGAGTGGCTGTTGTTCCCAGTGGCTTCCACTTTGTTATCATCCCATAACAGTTGAGCGCGGAATATTTTAGTAGCCAGGAAATGTCACGGATGGACTTATTGCCCAGGTGGCCACCTATCACGGGACCACGCTTGGAGCCACTGAGCTCCTGAGAGCGACCCATTCTTTCACCAATGTTTGTAGAAGCCGTCTGCATGCCTAGGGGCTTGATTGTATACACCTGTGTCCATGGAGGGGATTGGAGCACCTGAATCACATGATATGGAGGGGATTGGAACACCTGAATCACATGATATGGAGGGGATTGGAGCACCTGAATCACATGATATGGAGGGGATTGGAACACCTGAATCACATGATATGGAGGGGATTGGAGCACCTGAATCACATGATATGGAGGGGATTGGAACACCTGAATCACATGATATGGAGGGGATTGGAACACCTGAATCACATGATATGGAGGGGATTGGAACACCTGAATCACATGATTGGGAGGGGATTGGAACACCTGAATCACATGATATGGAGGGGATTGGAACACCTGAATCACATGATATGGAGGGGATTGGAACACCTGAATCACATAATTGGGAGGGGATGGGAACACCTGAATCACATGATATGGAGGGGATTGGAACACCTGAATCACATGATATGGAGGGGATTGGAACACCTGAATCACATGATATGGAGGGGATTGGAACACCTGAATCACATAATTGGGAGGGGATGGGAACACCTGAATCACATGATATGGAGGGGATTGGAACACCTGAATCACATGATATGGAGGGGATTGGAACACCTGAATCACATAATTGGGAGGGGATGGGAACACCTGAATCACATGATATGGAGGGGATTGGAACACCTGAATCACATGATATGGAGGGGATTGGAACACTTGAATCACATGATATGGAGGGGATTGGAACACTTGAATCACATGATATGGAGGCAATATAGTGTGTATAGTTCTGACATATACTGCAGTGCTGTACAAATCACTCTGCATCAGAAGAGCTTACACTCTAATGTCTGTTTATTCCATACAGATCTCGGGGGAGGTGCAGCACAACGATCTGTACTTGTTTGTGGTCCTTCAGGTTATTGATCGATTTTCCTCTTTTCTTCTTACAGAACTCGGACCTGTTTGAGATGATTGAAAAGATGCAGGTAAGTGTCCGACCTCCCTGTGCCCATAGGGGGCTCCCCTCACCCCACCTCCACGTAGACAATGTCCCATCCGACCATGTTCCCCCTGTGCCCCGGTCTGACCCCATGGCCAACTGTGCCCCGGTCTGACCCCCATGGCCCCCTGTGCCCCGGTCTGACCCTCATGGCCCCCTGTGCCCCGGTCTGACCCCATGGCCCCCTGTGCCCCGTTCTGACCCTCATGGCCCCCTGTGCCCCGGTCTGACCCTCATGGCCCCCTGTGCCCCGGTCTGACCCTCATGGCCCCCTGTGCCCCGGTCTGACCCTCATGGCCCCCTGTGCCCCGGTCTGACCCTCTTGTCCCCCTGTGCCCCGGTCTGACCCTCTTGTCCCCCTGTGCCCCGTTCTGACCCTCTTGTCCCCCTGTGCCCCGTCTGGCCCTCATGGCCCCCTGTGCCCCGGTCTGGCCCTCATGGCCCCCTGTGCCCCGGTCTGACCCTCATGGCCCCCTGTGCCCCGGTCTGACCCCATGGCCCCCTGTGCCCCGTTCTGACCCTCATGGCCCCCTGTGCCCCGGTCTGACCCTCATGGCCCCCTGTGCCCCGGTCTGACCCTCATGGCCCCCTGTGCCCCGGTCTGACCCTCATGGCCCCCTGTGCCCCGGTCTGACCCTCTTGTCCCCCTGTGCCCCGGTCTGACCCCATGGCCCCCTGTGCCCCGTTCTGACCCTCATGGCCCCCTGTGCCCCGTTCTGACCCCATGGCCCCCTGTGCCCCGTTCTGACCCCATGGCCCCCTGTGCCCCGTTCTGACCCTCATGGCCCCCTGTGCCCCGTTCTGACCCTCATGGCCCCCTGTGCCCCGTCTGACCCTCATGGCCCCCTGTGCCCCGGTCTGACCCTCATGGCCCCCTGTGCCCCGGTCTGACCCCCATGGCCCCCTTGTGCCCCGGTCTGACCCTCATGGCCCCCTTGTGCCCCGGTCTGGCCCCGTGGCCCCCTGTGCCCCGGTCTGACCCTCGTGGCCCCCTGTGCCCCCTCTGTGCCCCCGGTCTGGCCCTCATGGCCCCCTGTGCCCCGGTCTGACCCTCATGGCCCCCTGTGCCCCGGTCTGACCCCCATGGCCCCCGGTCTGGCCCTCATGGCCCCCTGTGCCCCGGTCTGACCCTCATGGCCCCCTGTGCCCCGGTCTGACCCCCATGGCCCCCGGTCTGGCCCTCATGGCCCCCTGTGCCCCGCTCTGACCCTCTTGTCCCTTTCTCCCCCCGATACCCTGAATCTCGATATTGCCCCTTCCAGTAATGTCACAGACACATGCAGTAGCGGAGTACAATGGTAATCTGTGCCTTTCCTGGCTCCATATTTCAGGGCTGCAGAATGGATGAACAGAGATACTCCATGCCTCCACCTCTGAAGGTAAGTGCCTGTTGGTGGGAAGATGAGGATGAGGATGGCGGTTGGTTGTCGCTGAGAATAGATTCTGTTTGTATTCCTCTTTTCTCTGATGTGTTCGTCCGGCACTAGCGCTGGAGGGAATCCGCAGACATGGGGCCACATTCTGGTCCCGCTGCACCATGACCCCCCTGTATGGACCGCCCCTCCGCTGGGCTCTGCCATAGGCCATGGCGGTGTACTGTTGTCTCCTAGTGCTTGCTCTAATCTTCTGCTATTTTCCTTCCCATTGCAGACGGAGGAGGACTACATCCCCTACCCCAGTGTCCACGAGGTGAGAGCCCCCAGCGGAGGAACTCCGCCCATAGCCCTCTGTGCCCCAACCTGACCTCCACGACCCCTCTGTGCCCCAACCTGACCTCCACGACCCCTCTGTGCCCCAACCTGACCTCCACGACCCCGCTGTGCCCCAACCTGACCTCCACGACCCCTCTGTGCCGCAACCTGACCTCCACGACCCCTCTGTGCCGCAACCTGACCTCCACGACCCCTCTGTGCCCCAACCTGACCTCCACGACCCCTCTGTGCCCCAACCTGACCTCCACGACCCCTTTGTGCCCAACCTGACCTCCACGACCCCTCTGTGCCCCAACCTGACCTCCACGACCCCTCTGTGCCCCAACCTGACCTCCACGACCCCTCTGTGCCCCAACCTGACCTCCACGACCCCTCTGCCCCAACCTGACCTCCACGACCCCTCTGTGCCCCAACCTGACCTCCACGACCCCTCTGTGCCCAACCTGACCTCCACGACCCCTCTGTGCCCCAACCTGACCTCCACGACCCCTCTGTGCCCCAACCTGACCTCCACGACCCCTCTGTGCCCCAACCTGACCTCCACGACCCCTCTGTGCCCCAACCTGACCTCCACGACCCCTCTGTGCCCCAACCTGACCACCATGCCCACCCCTTACGGCTCAGTCTGACCTCCCTGCCACCCCCCATGCCACAGCCTTACCTCCATGGTCGCCACGTGCCTCAGCCTGACCCCCATGGCCCCCCGTGCCTCAGCCTGACCCCCATGGCCCCCCGTGCCTCAGCCTGACCCCCATGGCCCCCCGTGCCTCAGCCTGACCCCCATGGCCCGTGCCTCAGCCTGACCCCCATGGCCCCCCGTGCCTCAGTCTGACCCCCATGGCCCCCGCATTCCTCAGCCTGACCCCCGTGGCCCCCGCATTCCTCAGCCTGACCCCCGTGGCCCCCTCTGTATTCTCATTGAAGGCCATGGCCGTGTATATCGTAGTAATAAAGGACGTGTCCCTTGCACCCCACAGGTCCTGGGTCGGGAGGGGCCCTTCCCGCTTATCCTGTTGCCACAGTTTGGGGGTTACTGGATCGAAGGGACCAATCACGACGTCTCCTTGTTGCTGGATCCTGAGAGCGGTCAGTCTCCCAGCGGGAAGGTGAAGCTGGAGAGTAACCACATGGCACGCCTGTACCGCAAGCACTTCCTGGGGAAGGTGAGTACTCCGGGAATGGGGGTCCTGCCGGTAGGTGGGCGCCTGTCTACTACATTGGACTGACCTCTGTACTGTCCCTGCATTCCGTCTGACACTTCAGGAGGGTGTGTGCTAAAGCCAAGTGTGTAGATATGGAAGGTGTCGTGTGAGGATGGAGATGGGGAAGGTGTCATGTGTGAGGATAGAGATGGGGAAGGTGTCATGTGTGAGGATGGAGAGGAGAGATGGAAGGTGTCATGTGTGAGGATGGAGAGATGGGGAAGGTGTCATGTGTGAGGATGGAGATGGGGAAGGTGTCATGTGTGAGGATGGAGAGATGGGAAGGTGTCATGTGTGAGGATAGAGATGGGGAAGGTGTCATGTGAGGATGGAGATGGGGAAGGTGTCATGTGTGAGGATGGAGATGGGGAAGGTGTCATGTGTGAGGATGGAGATGGGGAAGGTGTCATGTGTGAGGATGGAGAGATGGGGAAGGTGTCATGTGTGAGGATAGAGATGGGGAAGGTGTCATGTGTGAGGATGGAGAGATGGAAGGTGTCACGTGTGAGGATGGAGATGGGGAAGGTGTCATGTGTGAGGATGGAGAGATGGAAGGCGTCATGTGTGAGGATGGAGATGGGGAAGGTGTCGTGTGAGGATAGAGATGGAAGGTGTCATGTGTGAGGATAGAGATGGAAGGTGTCATGTGTGAGGATAGAGATGGGGAAGGTGTCGTGTGAGGATGGAGATGGGGAAGGTGTCACGTGGATGAGATGGGGAAGGTGTCGTGTGAGGATGGAAATGGGGAAGGTGCCATGTGTGAGGATAGAGATGGAAGGTGTCATGTGTGAGGATAGAGATGGAAGGTGTCATGTGTGAGGATAGAGATGGAAGGTGTCATGTGTGAGGATAGAGATGGAAGGTGTCACGTGTGAGTGTCATGATGTGATGGAAGGTGTCATGTGTGAGGATGGATGGAAGGTGTCACGTGTGTGAGGATGGAGATGGGGAAGGTGTCACGTGTGAGGATAGAGAGATGGAAGGTGTCATGTGTATAGATTGAAAGACTCTGGACCCCCATATGTGACCTGCAGTTTATAGAGACTCCGGACCCCCGTATGTCCTGCATGTAGTGGAGTGTGGCCCCCCTCCTGTGGTGTCATGTGACCGGCAGCCATTATTGGGTATCAGATCAGTTTCAGGATTGGGTGTCACAGAGCAGTGTGATGGAGAAGCTCCATGTCTGTGGTGTCACAGAGCAGTGTGATGGAGAAGCTCCATGTCTGTGGTGTCACAGAGCAGTGTGATGGAGAAGCTCCATGTCTGTGGTGTCACAGAGCAGTGTGATGGAGAAGCTCCATGTCTGTGGTGTCACAGAGCAGTGTGATGGAGAAGCTCCATGTCTGTGGTGTCACTCGGGTCCCCCTGGTTTGTGTTGCAGGAACACTTCAATTATTACTCGGTGGATGCGGCTCTGGGTCACCTCGTCTTCTCCCTGAAGTATGATGTCATCGGAGACCAGGAACACCTCCGCCTGCTGCTGCGGTACCATTACATCATGTGTCTCCCGGCAACACCCTGCGCTGCGTGCCAGATGGGGCCCGCTGGAGGGGGCGGGGGCTCCGATGGCCATACACTGTATCAGCCTTAAAGGGAACCTGTGTGAGAAGGCTCTGATGGAAGCTTCCGGCTACATACTAGTTCTGTCTGCCCTGGAACTGGTATGAAGTCATCTGATCACACCTGAGGGACTACAAGTCTCAGCGTGTGACCCCGGCAGCCTGGACACGCAATCATTCTGATCCCTGGCTTCCCTACTTAATATGGTGATGATCTGGAACAAGCATGCTGCCAGTGAAGTGTGGAAAGTCTAAAATCCTGTCCATTATGACTCTCTGGTGGGGAAGCCAGGGATGAGGATGACACACCTGGAGCATGCACCTTTAAAAACTAAGCCAGCAATGGCCACGCCCACATTTCAGTCCTTTAAATGGGTCCTCCACCTGACCCTGCTCCATTTGCAGCTTCCATCAGTGCCTTTTAGCCAGGACTGTCTTCCATTCTTTGATGTCTTATAGCCATGTCATTCCTCCCTCCCTCCTCCATTCAGCCGTGTCATTCCCTTCCTCCCTCCTCCATTCAGCCGTGTCATTCCTCCCTCCCTCCTCCATTCAGCCGTGTCATTCCTCCCTCCCTCCTCCATTCAGCCGTGTCATTCCTTCCTCCCTCCTCCATTCAGCCGTGTCATTCCTCCCTCCCTCCTCCATTCAGCCGCACCATTCCACCCTCCTCCATCCAGCCGCACCATTCCACCCTCCTCCATCCAGCCGCACCATTCCACCCTCCTCCAATCAGCCGCACCATTCCACCCTCCTCCAATCAGCCGCACCATTCCACCCTCCTCCATCCAGCCGCACCATTCCACCCTCCTCCATCCAGCCGCGCCATTCCACCCTCCTCCATCCAGCCGCGCCATTCCACCCTCCTCCATCCAGCCGCGCCATTCCACCGTCCTCCATCCAGCCGCGCCATTCCACCCTCCTCCATTCAGCCGCGCCATTCCACCCTCCTCCATCCAGCCGCACCATTCCACCCTCCTCCAATCAGCCGCACCATTCCACCCTCCTCCATCCAGCCGCACCATTCCACCCTCCTCCATCCAGCCGCGCCATTCCACCCTCCTCCATTCAGACGCACCATTCCACCCTCCTCCATCCAGCCGCACCATTCCACCCTCCTCCATCCAGCCGCACCATTCCACCCTCCTCCATCCAGCCGCACCATTCCACCCTCCTCCATCAGCCGCACCATTCCACCCTCCTCCAATCAGCCGCACCATTCCACCCTCCTCCAATCAGCCGCACCATTCCACCCTCCTCCATTCAGCCGCACCATTCCACCCTCCTCCATTCAGCCGCACCATTCCACCCTCCTCCATCCAGCCGCACCATTCCACCCTCCTCCAATCAGCCGCACCATTCCACCCTCCTCCAATCAGCCGCACCATTCCACCCTCCTCCATTCAGCCGCACCATTCCACCCTCCTCCATTCAGCCGCACCATTCCACCCTCCTCCATTCAGCCGCACCATTCCACCCCTCCTCCATCCAGCCGCACCATTCCACCCTCTTCCATTCAGCCGCACCATTCCACCCTCCTCCATTCAGCCGCACCATTCCACCCTCCTCCATTCAGCCGCACCATTCCACCCTCCTCCAATCAGCTGTCTTCATTCTGTGGCTTATGGCCAAGCCTGTCTACCTGTCTATTCTCCTGTATATATATATATATATATATATTCCTCCTGACGTCATCTCCGTCCTCTTCTTCCTTCTCCAGGACAAAATCCCAGACGTACCATGATGTCATCCCCATCTCCTGCCTCACCGAGTTCCCCAATGTGGTGCAGATGGCGAAGGTGAGTCCTCTGACCTCCCCCCCCCCCCCCCTTATAGTAAACTCCTCCTCTAATCCTAAATGGGAGGGGCCAGTCGCAGGGCAAGAGGTGATGGGAGGGGTCAGAACTTCTGATGATTTATTAATCTCTGTGACTTCCTGTCCTGGTGACCCTTTTGTTTCACTGATGTCACACAGACAGGAAGTGAGGGAAAATCTCCCCAGTGGGGTCACAGACACAAAACCCGATGGAATGTATAACTGGAGGAGATTGGGGGTCAGTGATTTGTTCACATAGATCCTGTTCAGGGATTGGTGTGTGTGTGGGGGGGGGGGGGGGTTGGTGGTGGAATTTCATGGGGGGTGGGCAGTTTTTCTCACATTGCTCCGTGTTTGTTCCCAGCTGGTGTGTGAAGATGTGAACGTGGATCGATTTCACCCCGTCCTCTACCCGAAGGTGAGACCACGCCGAGGTAACCCGACCGAAAGGATGAACATGATACATTGTATCGCACAATACCATCCATTGTATCACACACACGGGTGAACCCGACTCCCCTGAGAGGCATCAACATTTCACATGTCCATGACGTCATCGCGCCGTGTGTGAGGATTAACCCTCCGCTCACCATACAGGACACTCGGGGGGAGTGAATGGGACTTGGTGGTGAATCAATCTCTGCCCTATAATACACATGGAGGAAGATTCACCCGCAGAGAATGCCACATTCACTGCGTAATAATTGTACCCTGTAGTGTCACCTATCGCAACGTAGGATAGGCCAGCCAATCACAGCACGGCGATCTCCATCAGGTCCCTCCCACAGAATATTAACCAAATGTGTAAATTTAAGGGAGACGATCTGAGAACCGACTTCAGGAAATGATATACAAGGTGTGTGGGGGGAGGGGAGACGCCATATTGGTTGTCATAGGCCCCTTGTTAGAAGTACAGCGTAGAGATTGCACTTTACTGCTCCTCGTCCCTCAGTCCACGGGCCCCTCAGTCCATGGGTGGCCCTCAGTCCACGGGCCCCCTCAGTCCATGGGTGGCCTCTCAGTTCACGGGCCCCTCAGTATACGGGTCCCTCAGTCCACGGGTCCACGGGCCCCTCAGTCCACGGGTGGCCCCTCAGTCCACGGGCCCCTCAGTCCACGGGCCCCTCAGTCCACGGGCCCCTCAGTCCACGGGCCCCTCAGTCCACGGGCCCCTCAGTCCACGGGCCCCTCAGTCCATGGGTGGCCCCTCAGTCCACGGGCCCCTCAGTCCATGGGTGGCCCCTCAGTCCACGGGCCCCTCAGTCCATGGGTGGCCCCTCAGTCCACGGGCCCCTCAGTCCATGGGTGGCCCCTCAGTCCATGGGTGGCCCCTCAGTCCACGGGTTCCTCAGTCCATGGGTGGCCCCTCAGTCCATGGGTGGCCCCTCAGTATACGGGTCCCTCAGTCCATGGGTCCCTCAGTCCATGGGGGCCCCTCAGTCCACGGGTCCCTCAGTCCATGGGTGGCCCCTCAGTCCACGGGTCCCTCATTCATGGGTCAGATCGGACTGACTATTGTACCGTGTGTGGATGTTCGTGTCCCCTGATTGGACCTTCATCCTCTCCCCTGCAGGCATCGCGGCTCATCGTCACATTTGATGAACACGTCATCAGCAATAACTTCAAATTTGGCGTCATCTACCAGAAACCGGGACAGGTCAGGAGGGATTGTATGGTTGGGGGGGAGGGGTGCAGTCTGGGATTTGTGGATATAAATGTATTGGCGCTGTTGTGGTCCCCATAGCAGGGAATTGTAGGGAGGATGTCAGAGATGAATGTGGGGGAGGAGTGTCGGTGGATGTGGGGGAGGAGTGGGGGAGGAGTGTCGGTGGATGTGGGGAGGAGTGTCGGTGGATGTGTCGGTGGATGTGGGGGAGGAGTGTCGGTGGATGTGGGGGGAGGAGTGTCGGTGGATGGGGGGAGGAGTGTCGGGGGTGGGGAGGAGGAGTGTCGGTGGATGCGGGGGAGGAGTGTCGGTGGATGCGGGGGAGGAGTGTCGGTGGATGCGGGGGAGGAGTGTCGGTGGATGCGGGGGGAGTGTGGTGGATGCGGGGGGAGTGTCGGTGGATGCGGGGGAGGAGTGTCGGTGGATGCGGGGGAGGAGTGTCGGTGGATGCGGGGGAGGAGTGTCGGTTACGGGGGAGGAGTGTCGGTTACGGGGGAGGAGTGTCGGGGGAGGAGTGTTATCACGGTATTAATGCCTCTTGCTGAGTTTGGGTTTTGGTTTTTCTGTTGGCACTGTGGGGGAGGAGTGTCGGTGGATGTGGGGGAGGAGTGTCGGTGGATGTGGGGGAGGAGTGTCGGTGGATGTGGGGGAGGGGTGTCGGTGGATGTGGGGGAGGGGTGTCGGTGGATGTGGGGGAGGAGTGTTTTCGGTGGATGTGGGGGAGGAGTGTCGGTGGATGTGGGGGAGGAGGAGTGTCGGTGGATGTGGGGGAGGAGTGTCGGTGGATGCGGGGGAGGAGTGTCGGTGGATGCGGGGGAGGAGTTTTGGTTTTCTGTTGGCACTGTGGGGGAGGAGTGTCGGTGGATGCGGGGGAGGAGTGGATCGGTGGATGGATGCGGGGGAGGAGTGTCGGTGGATGCGGGGGAGGAGTTTTGTCGGTGGATGCGGGGGAGGAGTGCCGGTGGATGCGGGGGAGGAGTGTCGGTGGATGTGCCGGTGGATGCGGGGGAGGAGGAGTGTGGATGGTGGGCGGATGCGGGGGAGGAGTGTCGGTGGATGCGGGGGAGGAGTGTCGGCGGGATGCGGGGGAGGAGTGTCGGCGGGGGGAGGAGTGCGGGGATGCGGGGGAGGAGTGTCGGCGGAGTGTCGGGGATGCGATGCGGGGATGCGGGGGAGGCGGATGTGGGGGAGGGGCGGATGCGGGGGGAGGAGTGTCGGTGGATGCGGGGGAGGAGTGCCGGCGGGGGAGGAGTGCGGGGATGAGGAGTGGAGGAGTGCGGTGGATGTGGGGGAGGAGTGCCGGTTTTGCGGTTGCCGGCGGATGCGGGGGAGGAGTGCCGGCGGATGGGGGAGGAGTGCGGGGAGGAGGAGTGCCGGCGGATGCGGGGGGAGGAGTGCCGGCGGATGCGGGGGAGGAGTGCCGGCGGATGCGGGGAAGGAGTGTCGGTGGATGTGGGGGGAGGAGTTTTGGTTTTCTGTTGGCACTTTGTGGTGTTTTTTGTTTGTTAGACGACAGAAGAGGAACTATTCAGCACCACTGAGGAGAGTCCGGCCTTCGCGGAGTTCCTGGAGCTGCTGGGGGAGCGGGTTCTCCTGCAGGACTTTAAGGGGTGAGCCGGAGGGGACTCCCAAGAGACAGAAATCCAATGATTGGTCAGTCACCCCAGATGGGAAGTTCATCTCAGATTAGCTCTGGGGGTGGAGACTTCTTCTGCACCAATCAATCGTGTGCATGCTGGGGGAGGGGGAGGGGGGAGGGGAACACTTTGGTCTTTAGTGTGTAACAAATATGGCGGACTCATGTATATGGCTTGGAAGATCATCTCATTGATGCCCAAAGGGCCACTCCACCCGTAAGGGACATTTCAGTACCAGGTGGATGCTGAGGGGTTTGAACCTCCTGACAGTCGCTTGTTTCTTGGGGAGTCTGTTGTGCCCATTATGGGGGGCTCCCACCATCCCTGCTGGATTTGTATTTATTTGATGCTGCTGAGGAGGCAAGACACAGAGGAGGGCAGGAGCAGCATTGGATCTATGGTGGGAGATATCACTTTTGGGTGGACTCCAGATGACCCCCTCCCCCCCATATTGTATTTACATTGCAGTTTCCGGGGCGGTTTGGACGTCAGTCATGGACAGACGGGAACAGAATCCATCTACTGCAACTTCCGGGGAAGGAAATCATGTTCCACGTGTCCACGAAGCTGCCGTACACGGAGGGGGACACCCAGCAGGTAGGATGCAGTGCACTTCCTGTACGCCACGGTGTCCCCCCCCCTGTGTGTGTCGTCCCCCCCCTGTGTGTGTCGTCCCCCCCCCCTCCCCTGTGTGTGTCGTCCCCCCCCCCCCCCCTGTGTGTGTGTCGTTTGTCCCCCCCCCTCCCCTGTGTGTGTCGTCCCCCCCCCTCCCCTGTGTGTGTCGTCCCCCCCCTTCCCCTGTGTGTGTCGTCCCCCCCCCTCCCCTGTGTGTGTCGTCCCCCCCCTCCCCTGTGTGTGTCGTCCCCCCCCCCCCCTCCCCTGTGTGTGTCGTCCCCCCCCCCCCCTCCCCTGTGTGTGTGTCCCCCCCCCCTCCCCTGTGTGTGTCGTCCCCCCCCCTCCCCTGTGTGTGTCGTCCCCCCCCCCCCCTCCCCTGTGTGTGTCGTCCCCCCCCTCCCCTGTGTGTGTCGTCCCCCCCCTCCCCTGTGTGTGTCGTCCCCCCCCCCCCCTCCCCTGTGTGTGTCGTCCCCCCTCTTCCTCACCTCTTCCTTCCTGTTCAGCTGCAGAGGAAGCGGCACATCGGGAACGACATCGTAGCCATTGTGTTCCAGGATGAGAACACGCCCTTCGTCCCCGACATGATCGCCTCCAACTTCCTGCATGGCTACATCGTGGTGCAAGTCCAGGAGCCCGGCACCGACAACACTGTGTACAAGGTACGCCCCCCAAACTTGCCACGCCCCCCAAACTCGCCACGCCCCCCCCCCAAACTCGCCACGCCCCCCAAACTCACCACCCCCCCCCCCAAACTCACCACACACCCCCCCCAAACTCATCACCCCCCCCCCAAACTCGCTACACCCAATAGACAGGCAGACGGGATCTGAGAACGGATTACATGTTGGCTGACCTCACTGGTCCATGCAGTGATCGACCCCAGCCAAAGGAACGCCCTCATTGGAGGACCCTGGCCTCCTCCCTCTATTAGCCAGGTCATGTGATGTACCGGGGGGCGAGGACACACCCGTGATGCGATTCGGGTGCGGATCCCAATAGGCGGGCGAGGACACACACGTGATGCGATTCGGGTGCGGATCCCATTAGGCGGGCGAGGACACACACGTGATGCGATTCCGGTGCGGATCCCATTAGGCGGGCGAGGACACAAATATGATGCGATTCCGGTGCGGATCCCATTAGGCGGGCGAGGACACACACGTGATGCGATTCGGGTGCGGATCCCATTAGGCGGGCGAGGACACACACGTGATGCGATTCCGGTGCGGATCCCATTAGGCGGGCGCGAGGACACAAATATGATGCGATTCCGTGCGGATCCCATTAGGCGGGCGAGGACACACACGTGATGCGATTCGGGTGCGGATCCCATTAGGCGGGCGAGGACACACACACGTGATGCGATTCGGGTGCGGATCCCATTAGGCGGGCGAGGACACAAATATGATGCGATTCCGGTGCGGATCCCATTAGGGGGGGCGAGGACACACACGTGATGCGATTCCGGTGCGGATCCCATTAGGCGGGCGAGGACACACATGTGATGCGATTCGGGTGCGGATCCCATTAGGCGGGCGAGGACACACACGTGATGCGATTCCGGTGCGGATTGAGAAAAGGCACCTCCTGCACCTTATTGGCATAGATGCGATTTGAGCCATACACAGCATTTGCATGTAATTCACACAGGGATGGGATGTATTGGGATGGGATGGGATGGGATGTATTGGGATGGGATGAGATGTATTGGGATGGGATGGGATGTATTGGGATGGGATGTATTGGGATGTTATGAGATGTATTGGGATGGGATGGGATGTATTGGGATGGAATGGATGAGATGTATTGGGATGGGATGGGATGTATTGGGATGGGTTGGGATGGGATGTATGGGATGGGTGGGATGGGATGTATTGGGATGGGATGTATTGGATGGGATGTATTGGGATGGGATGTATTGGGATGGGATGGGATGTATTGGGTTGGAATGGATGAGATGTATTGGGATGGGATGTATTGCGATGGATTATGGGAGGATGGATGGGATGAGATGTATTGGGATGGGATTGGATGGGATGTATTGGGATGGGATGTATTACGATGGGATGGGTTGGGATTGGATGGGATGAGATGTATTGGGATGGGATTGGATGGGATGTATTGGGATGGGAGATGTATTGGGATGGGATGGATGGATTGGATGGGATGGGATGGAATGTATGATTAGGGGGATGGGATGTATTGGGATGGGATGTATTGGGATGGGATGGGATGTTTGGGATAGGATGAGATGTATTGGGATTAGGATGGGATGTATCGGGAGGGATGTATTGGGATGGGATGGGATGTATTGGGATGGGATGATGTATTGGATGGGATGAGATGTATTGGGATGGGATGATGATGTATTGGGATGTATGAGATGGTGATGGGATGGGATGTATTGGGATGGGATGAGATGTATTGGGATGGGATGGGATGTATTGGGATGGATGATGGGGATGGGATGGATGTATTGGGATGGATGATGTATTGGGATGGGATGGGATGTATTGGGATGGGATGGGATGTATTGGGATGGGATGGGATGTATCGGGATGAGATGTATTGGGATGGGATGGGATGTATTGGGATGGGATGGGATGTATTGGGATGGATGGGATGTTGTTTTGGGAATGGGATGAGGATGTATTGGGATGGGATGAGATGGTATTGGGATGGGATGGGATGTATCGGGATGGGATGTATTGGGATGGGATGGGATGTATTGGGATGGGATGGGATGTATTGGGATGGGATGGGATGTATCGGGATGAGATGTATTGGGATGGGATGGGATGTATTAGGATGGGATGGGGATGGGATGTATTGGGATGGGATGGGATGTATCGGGATGGGATGAGGGATGTATCGGGATGGGATGGGATGTATCGGGATGGGATGGGATGGGATCGGGATGGATGTATGTGGGGATGGAAGAATGTTGATGAGGATGTATGGGATGGGATGTATCGGGGGGATGGGATGTATTTGTATGGGATGGGATGTATCGGGATGGGATGGGATGTATGGGATGGGATGGGATGTATTGGGATGGGATTGGGAATTGTATTGGGATGGGATGTGATAGGGATGGGATGGGATGATGTATTGGGATGGGATGGGATTGGGATGGGATGGGATGTATTGGATGGGATGTATCGGGATGGATGGGATGTATTGGATGGGATGGGATGTAATATTGGGATGGGATGTATCGGGATGGGATGGGATGTATCGGGATGGGATGGGATGTATCGGGATGGGATGAGATGTATTTTTGGGATGGGATGTATTGGGATGGGATGTATCGGGATGGGATGGGATGTATTGGGATGGGATGTATTGGGATGGATGGGATGTATCGGGATGGGATGGGATGTATCGGGATGGGATGGGATGTATCGGGATGGATGGATGTATCGGGATGGGATGTATCGGGATGGGATGCGATGGGATGGTTCCGGAAGCTCCTCCCACTTCTCTTGGACCCCGATCATAGTCATGTGATCGCTGGCATCACATGGGACTTTGTATGGTAAACAACGCCGCGCGGTGAAATGAATTCTAATTCCGGAGAAGTCTTTGCTGTGAAATCCGATTTGGATAAATCTCCGGCTCATCCCCCGCTCGGGGGGGGGGGGGGGGGGTTCCGCTCCGGATTTGGAGAGAAGGTTCCCGGTGATGGTCCCTGACGCTAATCGGTGTGATGGGATGTCAGCGGCGGGTCACACCCCTGTCTGCCCCATATTACCAGTGATGGCGGCTGAGCAGTCCCTGCTGGGTGTAAATGCTCCGTGGACTGCATATGGGGGGGGTGGTGAGCGCTTTGTTTGACAGTGTATGGGGGGGGGGTCTGATTGCTGTGGACAGTGTATAGGGGGGTTGAAAATGGGACAGTGTATGGGGGGGGGTCTGATTGCTCCGTGGACAGTGTATGGGGGGGGGTCTGATCGCTCCGTGGACAGTGGGAAAAATGGGGGGGTCTGATCGCTTGGTATGTGGTTAATGGGGGGGGTCTGATTGCTCCGTGGACAGTGTAAGGGGGGGGTCTGATCGCTCCGTGGATAGTGTAAATGGGGGGGTCTGATTGCCCGTGGACAGGTAGTATGGGGGGGGGGGGATTGCTCCCGTGGACAGTGTATGGGGGGGGGGTCTGATTGCTCCGTGGAATGAGTGTATGGGGGGGGGAATGTTTGTCTGATCGCTTTGGACAGTGTAATTGCTCCGTGGAAATTATGGGGGGGGGTCTGATTGCTACCGTGGGACAGTGTATGGGGGGGGGTCTGATTGCTCCGTGGATAGTGAAGTGTATGTGGGGGGTCTGATTGCTCCGTGGACAGTGTATAAATGGGGGGGGTCTGATTGCTACCGTGGAAGTGTATTGAATATGTAAATTCTGAAAGCTGGCATTTGGAACACAGTGTATGGGGGGGGTCTGATTGCTTAGGTACCAATGGACCAGTGTAATTCTGGGGGGGGGGGGTAAGATGATTGTTTGGACAAAATGAATAAGGTTTCACGATTGCTCTGTTGGAACAGTGTTGGGGGGGGGTCTGATTGCTCCGTGGGGACAGTGTATGGGGGGGGGTCAACATGATTGCTCCGTGGACATGTGTAAAGGGGGGTTGGGACAGTGTATGGGGGGGTGTGGGTGAAACTCCGTGGACAGTGTATGGGGGGTTTTGATTGCTTTAAAGACAACATGTATGGCCTGGTCTGATTGCCCGTGGACAGTGTATGGGGGGGGGTCTGATTGCTTGGGTGTATGGGGGGGGGGTGATCTGATCGCTCCGTGGACAGTGTATGGGGGGGGTCTGATTGCTCATGGACAGTAAATATGGGGGGGTCTGATTGCTCCGTGGACAGTGTATGGCGGGGTCTGATTGCTCCGTGGACAGTGTATGGGGGGGGTCTGATTGCTCCCTGTGTGGACAGTGTATGGGGGGGGGGTCTGATTGCTCCGTGGACAGTGGTATGGGGGGGGGGTCTGATTGCTCCGTGGACAGTGTAATGGGGGGTCTGATCGCTCCGTGGACAGTGTACTTATGGGGGGGGGGTCTGATCGCTCCGGG